TGCACAGAAATCAGTGGCATTTCTATACACCAACAACAAGACAGAAGAAAGAGGAATTAAGGAGTCGATCCCATTTAAAACTGCACCCAAAACTATAAGATACTTAGGAATAAATCTAACCAAAGTGGTAAAGAATCTCTATTCAGAAAATTATGGAATACTCCTGAAAGAAATTGAGGAAGACACAAAGAAATGGAAAAACGTTCCATGCTCATGGATTGGAAGAACAAATATTGTGAAAATGTCTATGCTACCTAGGGCAATCTACACATTTAATTAAATCCCTATCAAAATACCATCAACTTTTTTCACAGAAATGGAACAAATAACCCTAAAATTCTTATGGAACCGGAAAAGACCCCGGATAGCCAAAGGAAGCTTAAAAAAGAAAAGCAAAGCTGATGGCATCACAATTCTGGACTTCAAGCTCTATTACAAAGCTTTGATCATCAAGAGAGTATGGGACTAGCACAAAAACAGACACATAAATCAATGAAACAGAACAGAAAGCCCAGAAATCGACCCTCAACTCTATGGTCAACTAATCATCAACAAAGCAAGAAATAATGTCCAATGGAAAAAGGGCAGTCTCTTCAACAAATGGTGTTGGGAAAATTGGACACCACATGCAGAAGAATGAAAGTGGACCATTTCCTTACACCACACACAAAAATAAACTTAAAATGGATGAAAGACCTAAATGTGAGACAGGAATCTATCAAAATACTTGAGGACAACACAGGCAGGAACCTCTTCGACCTCAGCCACAACAACTTCTTCCTAGATATATTGCCAAAGGGAAGGGAAGCAAGGGCAAAAATGAACTATTGGGATTTCATCAAGATAAAAACCTTTTCACAGCAAAGGAAACAGTCAACAAAACCAAAAGACAACTGGCAGAATGGGAGAAGATATTTGCAAATGACATATCAGATAAAGGGCTAGTATCCAACATCTATAAAGAACTTATCAAACTCAACACCCAAAGAACAAATAATCCAATCAAGAAATGGGCAGAAGACATGAGCAGACATTTTTCCAAAGAAGACATCCAAATGGCCAACAGACACATGAAAAAGTGCTCAGCATCACTCAGCATCAGGGAAATACAAATCAAAACCACAATGAGATACCACCTCACACCAGTCAGAATGGCTAAAATTAGCAAGTCAGAAAACGACAGATGTTGGCGGGGATGCGGAGAAAGGGGAACTCTCCTACACTGTTAGTGGGAATGCAAGCTGGTGCAGCCACTCTGGAAAACAGTATGGAGGTTCCTCAAAAAGTTGAAAATAGAGCTACCCTACGACCCAGCAATTGCACTACTGGGTATTTACCCCAAAGATACAAATGTAGTGATCTGAAGGGGCATGTGCACCCCAATATTTATAGCAGCCATGTCCACAAAAGCCAACCTATGAAAAGAGCCAAGATGTCCATCAACAGATGAATGGATAAAGAAGATGTGGCATATATATATATATATATATATATATATATATATATATATATAAAATGGAATATTATGCAGCCATCAAAAAAATGAAATCTTTCCATTTGCAACAACATGGATGGAACTAGAGGGTATTATGCTAAGTGGAATAAGTCAATCAGAGAAAGACAATCGTATGATCTCACTGATATGTGGAGTTTGGGAAACAAGGCAGAGCATCATAGAGGAAGAGAGGAAAAAATGGAACAAGATGAAACCAGAGAGGGAGACAAACCATAAGAGACTCTCAATCTCAGGAAACAAACTGAGGGTTGCTGGAGTGGAGGTGGGTGGGAGGGATGGGGTGGCTGGGTGATGGACATTGAGCGAGGGTATGTGCTATGGTGAGCCCTGTGAATTGTGTAAGACTGAAGATTCACAGACCTGTAACCCTGAAACAAATAATACATTATGTGTTAACAAAAAAAAAAAATAAATAAATGACCAGGTCAAGGAACTGGCAGGCCACGTGTTGGGTGGGTCATCTTATTGGACACTGAAATCACTCGTGATTATGGCAAGGCTTGAGGTGGAAATGAAAACCATAACTCAGTGCCAGAGGTTTTGATAAATGTGGGAAAGTGACCTGGAGGTCACAAATAATTGAGAAATCACCATAATTGCTGTGGTTCCATAAGAACTTGTATAATTTCTCTGTGGGGAATTACATCTTCTAAAGGTTAATGCTGATGGCCATTGCAACTGGGCATGATTGCAGTATTTTATTAGGTTTATATAGCCCTATAATCTTATGATTTAAGTACATCTTAAACATGGAATTCCATGGGAGGAGACGAATTCCATGGGAGGAGAATAAAAAGGGAAAGCTAAGATACAAGTCTAAGGAAGGCCCCTTGTGGTGTCTCATGCCAGGCTAAGGTGCTAAAGTTTCCTCTGTAGGAACTGGAGCATTAGCAAGGCCGGTATTGTTTTGTATAAAGTTGTGGTAACTATACCTTAGGAAGGGTCACTTGGAAGTGGTGTGGTGGACAGATTGGAGAAAGGGAGAAGACCGAAGGAGCACAATTATGAGTCAACTACAGTTATCAGGGTGAGGGCTGAGTGGGCTTTGAATGAGATCAGTGGGCAAAGAGGGGAAGGAATGGGTGGTATACAATATTTCAGAGGACTCAGTTACCAGCCAGGAAAGCAATCAAATACTTAAGTGACTAGGAGAGAGATAAAGCCATAGGCAGAAGCCAGAAAATCAGGAAGAAGTTCATTTTGTGGAAGAATATATGTTACATTTCTAGTTCTTGAGTGCATCAAGGGGAGGTATCCAGTTGATGACAAATGTAGATGTTAAACTTCAGGAAAATGTGGACTGGAAAAGCCCCCTGCTGTTAACCCCTAACCACAAATGCCCATCCTGGCCTCCTGCTTTTTCTTTGCAGTCCATAAGAACTTCTCCCTTCACTTCCCCTGACTTCTTCCACTAATTCCTAGTTGCTCACAGCTTACTTCTGAAGACAGTGTCTCCTCAGCTCCTGTTTTGTTGTTCTTTCCAAAACATTCTATGGTTTCCTAGAAGGCCTCCTCTTTCTTGCTTAGTTCCCATCATCTGTGTCCCCACAGCCCTGATGCACTTGTCATGCTTGCCTCTTATAGATTTCCTCCCTCCGACTTTGGGCTTTAGAGGGCAGGGACTCATTAAATATGTCTATGTATCTTTTCTTTTCTGGTTCAGTAATAACTTACTTAATTAGCTAATTAACAGGTTTATTTTAGGGGTTTTACATTTTGAATCCTTCATTTAAGGAAAAAATAAATGGGATGAAACAGTACAAAACAAATCCACAATCCCAAATGTCACAGATGAATTTACAAGGTTTGGGAAGTTGTGCACATTTTCCCTGTGGTCAAGTGCAGCTTGGCCCTGCCTTATTTTGTTCCCTTTCCTAATGCATTCTCTTATGAAGTGTGTAGAAACCTAATCAGAAAAGCAACATTTATTCTAGGAAGTGGGGACAAACAGCTCCTCTCTCTTGTTCATCCTCTCTCACCATTTTCTCTGAAAGTCTAATGAGATTTAAACCTTTCATATGAACTACTGGAATATGTATTTGCCTTCCAATAAAACTGGGCCTTTAAAATCCCAGATGTCCTCATTTCAGTAATACCTCTCCCTGCATCTGTACAGCACAATGTTGCAGGAGCCTCCTGATTAGAAGGCATGTCAGTGGATGATGCTGCAGCTGGCTCCCACAGAGTATATAGGAAGAAGAAGGCCGAATTTGGAGTTTGGGAATGGCATACATTTAATGGATGGTCAAATAGGTAGGAGGAAACATAGAAGAAGGCAATGTTGAAAAATCCAGGAGGAGAATTTGCAAATCTATAGAGACAAAAAGTAGATTCATAGTTGTCAGGGGCTAGGGTAGAGGGAGACTGTGGAGTGACTGTTAATGGGTGCAGAGTCTTTGGGGGAATGATGAAAATATTCTGTAGTTAGTAGTATTGGTTGCACAACTTTATGGACATATCAAAAACCACTGCATTATTACTTTAAAATAGTAAAAAAAAATAATAAAAAAAAGAAAATCCAGGATAATGAAACATGGAAAACTAGTCAAACACATCTAATACAGAAAAGATGAAGACTGATTGAAAGAGTGTTTGCCTGTATGGAATTTGGTGATTAGGAAGCCAGTGGTGAGCTTAAAGAGAGTAGTTTCAAAGGAATAGTCACTCCCATCTCTTCTTCTTTCTGCCCTATAAATACATAATTTGTAAGGTTATTTCTTCACATACATTCATCTTTATTGGCAGAATGTCTGATGATTTGCAAGTTTAGGAATATGTTTGGATTACATAAACTAAGGGGATATTCTAGATGAGTTTTGGGAATTATGATTATGTGTGCCTCTGCTCACTAGGACATAGTATAAATGTCATTCTTCCTGTCCTTTGAAAACTAAATCTGTAGTGCAAAACCAGGTCAGTTCATGTAGTCTTAAACATAATTTCCGATGGCCCTAAATGGAGCAGGCATTGCCTTCTTTGAATTCTGATAATAACTATTCGTTGTATGGCTATTCTACAAGTTGCTTGCCCTGTCTTCTGTCAATTCATTGATGGAGTACTGCTGGCCTTATGACCCTGGGTCAACGCATATATTCTGAGGCCATATTTAACTTGCTTTGTAAATTGAGGGTAATAAACCTTAATCTGAGTACCTCTTATGAGAATATTGTATGAAAGTACCTTGAAAACTATTAAGCAAATGTAAATACATTTTTAATTGATTCTGTTGTAGAATTGAAGAGACAGTTAAATCCTTCATTGCTTGTTAGCACTAGACTGATATATGACTGGCCCCCTTAATGCCTTGTATGTATGATCATAGGCTTCACATCCTTGTATACCTTACTAAGGCCTGCCTTGCTTAGTAGTAATTGGTTGAAGTGAATACTGTTTAAATGAGAAAAAATTAGTGTCATACCATGATTGAATTCTCTCTTGCCTTCATCTTTCTTTGTTAATTTGTTTTATTCTGCTCTTCATGTAGGTTTTCCAAATGAGCCTGCTTCTGTCATTGCCCTCAGCACCATTAAGGAATGGCTGGCCAAGAACCATCACGAGGTAGGAGGAACAACATAATTAGCAAACATTTAAGATGGCATCATTTGATCTGCAATTTCAAAAAACCAGAAAATATATCCATAAATATCAAGTAAACATAATCATTGAGCTGAAGCTTGCTGACCATGCTTCATTGGGGTTATACGGGTGATTGAATATTTTCCTGTAATTAATTGACTGAAGGGATTATGTTGATTGGTTTTGGTGATGAAGGTAGGCAGAGTGATAAGATTCACTTAGTCATGATCTCATTTTTACATCTTTGGATAGTATGAGTTTTGTGTGTAAAAGAGAATAGGATGGATTTCATTAAGATTAAGGGATTGTCCAATGCTCTTTTCCTTAAAGCGTTATCTTTGTTGACATGGTCATTTTTTGGTATCCTGAGGTCTCTTTATTTATAATTAATCATTTCCATAAAGTAACTTCTGAGTGTGAGATTAGAGTAGGCCTGGATAATTGATAGCTAAATCCTGATGATCAGGATTTTTTATGAAACTAAATGCTTCTCTCAGACTTTTCACCATGCCTCCTATTCTGCTTATTTAATAAAATCTTTAGGATATGTTTAGTGATGAACAGGACAATTACTCAAGCTAACAAAGCAACACAATAAGACACTGTGGAGGTTAGATTTCAGAGTTTTGGCAACTAACCTATTGTAACAACAAATAGGTTTCATACAATGCACAGCCTTTTGTGTTTTTCTTCCGATTTTGTTATTCTCCTCAGATATTCATGTGAGTGCTATAAAGAATATTGGTCCATTTATGATATACCATGAATTTAGCTTTCTTCCTGGGTAGGACAATGATTATTAGGCAATGTTTGGTTATGGAAACAGACTATGGGATTTTGCTATAATATGGGAGTAGCTCTTGGTGCCTTTGTGTGTTTAAAGAAACAGTAATGTCATTTTCTGCTAATTGTTATAATTTCAACATTTCTTAAGTAGATACAGAAATTACTAATCTCCAGTAGGAGTAAAGACCACATGGCCAAACATATCCATTTCAGTGCTTGTTCTTTCTTCTCCTCTTACTATGAAAGTTGTATATATAACTTCAATTTAGAGGATGACCATAATAACCTCAAAAAAACCCCCAGAATTTAAAAAAAAAGGTTAAAATAGCCAGTTTACAAAACATGTCTTTGACACATATTATTTTCACAACAATTTCATGAAATGTCTAGGTATTGTTATCCTTATTTTCATCTAGAATCAAAAGGTTAAATGACATCCTCAGGACTTGAGAGTCACAAGCCAAGAGTCTGACTCTGTCCTCCTGACTCCAATAGCTATTCATCCTTGGAGGGGTCCTGAGGCCAGGGAGAGAAGTTTTAGTCCCTTTGACCTTGGTATTTTTAGTGTATCTCTTGGTTACAGTAAAATCTCCTTACCTGGACCATCTGCTTAGCAAAAACAGAGAGTGTTTCATGAATGAAAGTTGATAATGGAGCTAGTATATTGGTGTAAACCCATTATTTCCATTAAGATAATAATCCAAGGGTATTCCCTACTGATAGATTTACATGTGTCCTGTTGGCATGTGAGGGAAGTACACACATCCACCCAAAAATCATCATGGAGATGATTATGAAGAGCAAACATGTTGGTTGTATTTATAGCTCATTGCCAAATCCTACTGATGGATTTTCTCTAATTAAACTATTCAGAAGTTTATTTTCCATAGAAATGTGTTAACTTAGTGTTTCCCACGTAATGGTTGGTTCCCTGATTTCCTTGTTAGCTCATTCTGTCTTTGAGTCTGTTCTTTTGCTTTCATATCTTTTTCTTGCTCATTTCTTTGGTCTGTTGTATAAAAATTTAGGTATTTTAGATTGAGGAACACAACTCAGTTATTGCCACTGTGACTTTAAACATGTCCTGTGCTAATTCTTTTTTAAAAGCCTTCTTGTTTCAACATGCAATGGTTAATTTAAACAAGTTAATTTGAACAAGTCAGGTTTTACTTAATAAATGAATTGTAAGTGGTAGGGCATAGATAAAAGCTATACAAATTTATTATTTTGCAATATTTTGATTTAGTTTTTGCTCTGTTAAAAAACAAGCAAAGTAGGTTAGGCACTTTTGAAAGAGTATTCTCAGTCAGTTGTCTCTTCACTGGAGTATAACTTTGACATTCTCATTGTTTAAGTTATTCATTAATTCACTCATTTGACAAATATTTATCAAATATCAAATATCAAAACTTTTCTAGATATGAGGGATAGAATGCTGAAAAACAAAATCCTCTTCTTATGATATTCATAGTCTAGGAAAAGAGACATCAACAAATAAAGAGATAAGATAGTTCAAAGACAAAGTAAAACAGGGTAACTTGATAGTGAAGTATTGGAGGATGTGGTTTTACATGATTTAGAAAGGGCTCTGAGGATATAATCTTGGGACAAAGATTTGTATGATGGGAAGGGGTAAGCCAACTACAAAAAGGTCTTGAGGTAGAACATTCCACACAGAGGGAACAGCAAGAGAACCCTGTTGGGAAAATGAGTTTACTGTTTGCAATTAATGGTAAGAGACAATGCAGTTGGATTAGAGACATAAAAGAACGGCAGGAAACGAATTCGACAAATAGGTAGGGGTTAGATCAATGTTGTGATTCATGGAGAAACTTGGACTTTTATTCTAAGTCTAGTGGGAAGTTGTTGAGAGTTTGGGGCAGGGAGTGGCATGATGAGATTCACCTTTAAAATGACAAAAGGCTGGCTGCTGCCTGGAAAAGGGACTTGAGAGACCTCAGAATAGGAAAAGGAAGACTGGTGAAGAGAATTCTGCAGTAAATCTAGGCAAGAGATGAGGATTCTCTGAAGTACAGCAATGGTAGAAAAGGAGGTAACAGCATCAGGTTTGGAAATTTTTTTTTTTTTACAATAGAGCCAGCAGGACTTGGGGACTGTTTTAGAGTAGGCTTGCTCATGCTGCAGTTACAAACAACTTACAAATCTTAGTGCCATAAAACAGCAAAGGTTTATTTTTTGCTCACACTATTTATATGTCTTGAGTCAGCAAAGGACTTTGGCTTAGTCAGGAACCCAGGCTGTGACAGACACTCTGCCATGTAAAATATCATCTATCACATGACAGGAAAAGATAGACAATCAAGTAATAGTTCTTAAATGCTTCTACAAAGGAATGATGCATATAACTTTTTTCTCTGTCATTTTACTGTCCAGAACAAGGCACCCAGGATACAAGGAAATGCAATTCTCTCATATGTTCAGAAGAGAGGCAACTGGATATCAATGAACAGTAGTAATGTCTATCATAGCTGTAAATCAGATGTGGTATATGGGAAAAATGGGAGAGTCAAAAATAACATCTAGGTTTTGACCTGAGCCCCTGAGTAAATATTGGTGCATTTACTGAGAAATTTGGTAGGGGAACATGTTTAGATGATAAACAGAAAGAAAACAATAATTGCATTGCAGAGTTAAACCTGAGATGATCTTAGATATACAGTGAAGGTTTCCAATAGAAAGCTGGTTACTTGAGCCTAAAGCTCAGAATAAAAAAGTCAGAAGGACACGGTAAAATTGATCAGATTATCATAACTTTAACTTGGGTTTGGGTCTTATTTGAGATTAGCTGCAAGAAATAGAAAAACATTCAAGCTAAATTATATAAGGAAGATATATTGTGTAAGTGAACTATAAAAAAAAAAAAAAAGTCTTGAAATTCAAGAGCTAGAACTAGAGCAGGATCTCATGAGTGACCAGAATTGCAAACTATAAATCCAATAAGAAGCAAGGGAGTTCATTTACATTCTCCCTCAATCTCTCTCATATCTTGGTTTCATTGATTTTTTTTTTTCACATTATCTTCACTACCAGTTTACCTGCTTAATATGGCCCCATGATGACTGGGACCCACTCATGAGTCATTGAGCCCTGCTTAAGGCAAGTCCGGGGTTGAAGTTGGTGGGCAAAGTTGCATCTTCTGGATCTTTCAGCTGGTTATGTCCCCTAAAATTTTCCTTTTAAAAAATAGGGAATCCATGTAAATGTGACTTCTATCAGTGGCCATACTTCTCTCAGTCAGATAAGTATGCAATTCAAACTTCATGATTTTTTATTTTTGATAATTAGTGTTGTCATGTGATTAGTGAGCCTTCACATTTCACCATTTATTTACCCTTTGATTTCTAAACCATCAGGAAAGGACACTTCTATTTTTTTCCAGTAATAGTTGATTTGGTTCTATTTAATTACACAAATCATCCCAGTTTGTGTGGCTGGACATTTCCACATTCAGAGAGGCTTCTCTGGAGCACTTGGGCCCAACAGACATGACTAGGGAAAATATGTTCTGTCATCCACCATTGACTTGTTTCATTTACCCAAAGTATGAACTGTGAGGATGCTGCTATCACCACATATTTAGGAGGACTCAGGGACCTGAGGGAGCCCAGCTGAACAAAGAGTACAGTTGGCTCTGACTGCAGCAGCTCTAGAGGAAGAGATAGAGCAGTGCTTTAATGAAAAAAGGAGAATCCTCAAGAGGATGTAATTGGGGCACAAAAATGACTTACCAGGACTAAGAAACAATGACTTCTTATTGAAAAATTGCAAAACAAAAAAGAATATTCCCTGCCAAGACTTGAATTATTGTTCTCAGAAAACCAGAGAGTTGAATTATCTTACAAAACCGAAATACAAAGAAATGGAAATCATGACTGAAGAGATAAGGCATGTGGCAGAGAGACCCAGGGATCAAGTGTGAGGTAAGCAAGGGATGAAGATTACCCCACCGGCATTTTTGGTAAAATTAAGAATTAAGATATTCTGAGTTCAGAAAATCAAATGAAAAGAATATCAGACTTCACTATAAAACAAATGACAGCATGTGGCATGATAACCTTTCCATAAGTACCCATTTTTCTCAAGTAGAAACTTTATTACAGGGACAAGCGAGCAAAATAAGCAGTCGTTATGGAAATGAGCAGCAGAAATGCAGCCCAGACTCTCAACTTGGGGTG